AGATTAATGTGGTGAAAATTTGTGATAGAGAGAAAATAGAAGGCAAATTATGAAGAATGAGTATTCAGAGGCAAATTATGATTTCATTGATTTGTATTCATTAACTTCAGAATTTTGTGGCAAAGGTTTCCTTATCCCCCTAATTTCATAAGACATGTTGGCCTGCACTATTATGTTTTGGTCACCTTTTTTCCTGAGCTAATGTATGACCTGTTCAGTTGTGGACCTTCTGGTTCTGGAAGAGAAAAGTGGTCAGAAGTATGTCTGATTCATGTCAATTGCAATCCTAATTTTGTCGATCTAGATTTTTATAATTGATGAAGTTTGAAGTTTATCATTTGAGAAGTTTATGGAAATTAATATAGTTATAAACAGCCACTCATAAATTTTGTTTTGGAATTCTTATGTTGCAGGAAGATTATGTGACTCGTTTGACATAAGCCATACAAAATGATAATAATGATAATAATGTGGATGGGTCGGAAAAGCTATAATTATAGAAAGAAGCTGTCGGCGGTAAGTCACGAGGCCGGTGTTACGGAACTGCCCGAATGGTGGTCAATATACAGTATGGAGTGTCTTACTTGACAGAAGTGACTGTTTCAAACCCGAATTGAGAAGTGGAGAGTCAAGCCATTCAGGCGGCTAGAGCTGAGACTTCTAGAGCACGTGAAGAGGTTGCCGAAGCTAAAGCTGAGACAACAGCTTTGAAAAGGCATTTTGAAGAATTTCCGAAAGAGATATTTGCTTGGAGTCGAGTCAAGAGGGCCCTTCTGGGGCTCCTTCAGGTGTCGATCCTAATACTTATAGCCATTACGATGATAACTCAGATGAGCAGTCATTGGACCTAGATGAAATGAGTGATGGATGTTAAGTCATATGCATTGTCTTTTTATTAGTTTTAGAACTTGTTCAAATTATTGTAGATTTTCACAAGTTTGATATTTTGTGTTGATATTTTGATGCTTTGACATCTTTGTTTTGATATTTTGATGTAATTTTGACTTGTGGATGTAACAATATTTTGTGTTGGTATTTTGATGTAACTTTGACATCTTTATGTCAATATTTGATGTAACTTTGGCATCTTAATTAATGTAGCAATATCATGGCTTCACTTGAGTTTATTATCTTGTGTTGGAATGTTAATTAATGTGATAATATATCAATAAATAGTTTGAAACATGTTTAAATAGATATGGTTTGAAATAGGTTTAAATAGATTTTATTTGAAACAAGTTTAAATATAAATAAATACCCGCAAAAAAAAAGTACTAGTGGCGGTTACAACAGATGCTAAATCCAACAAGTGTAAAATTATAGGGTTAAACAAAACCGTCGCTGATGTATAATGTAAAAAATTAAAAACTAATAGTGTCGGTTATGCGCAATGCTAATATACATGATTCTTGGAATATAGTGTCGGTTTTTAGCAATTCTATTATTCAATAAAGTTACAACTAGTGTCGCCAAAGAACGACGCAACGTGGCAATATTCAGACAAGGGTGTCGTTGGGAACTGACGCTACAATAGTGAAAAGAATAATTAAGTGTCTCCTTAAACCGCCATTTTGTGAAAGTTACGTCGATCATATCTGACGCTACAACAATTTTTTTTTTTTTAAAAAGTAGCGTCTATTTTTGTACTTTAGCGTCACGATAGCATTTCTGTAGGCAACACTATATGTAGCGACGACCTGTGATTATGTTTTGCCATCATCTTTTGATTGTCCGCCCTGACCCCAACACTAAGCCGACGCTAACACACGTTAGCGTCAGTTTTTAGCATTTTAGCAAGGGCTTTTGGCCGACGCTAATAAGAAGTTTTCTTGTAGTGATACCAACTCATTAAATTTATTAATATGACCAAATACATTATCTTCATCTTCCATCTTCAATGAGTATAAATTCATTTTCATCATCAATCAATTGGTTAATATGGTAGATGTAAACTTGCTTTCTAACAAATTCCACAATTTCTTTTGAGAGGTTTCTTTCAACATAGTCACTTTAACCTGTGGAGTAAGTGCCAACCGAATTGTACTCACTACCTTTTTTGTATTGAATTCCAATATGAAATCTCATCTCACTTAGTGTTTTCATTTCTAAAGCACAATCAAGATCTTGTTGGACCAAATAGTCTTGTATCGTGCATTGCCATAAGGGAAAATCCATTCTTCTATCAAACAAAGGAATATTCAATTAACTTTAATATAGCCATAATATTGTTTAAGAAAATAAAATTCAAATCAAATAAAATGATAGGAAACCTGTGATTTTCTCCCTTAACCCGAACCAGGCTCTGATACTAGTTGTTGGGAATATAACCAACGTAAATCTCCAATAATTGATACAAATAAAATAAAATAAACTCACAATAAAAAATTTATCACTAACTTGCAATTTTAGACGGAAAAAATGCAAACCCTCTCAACAATTATTTTTGAATGGAAAAATAGAAAACTCTCTCAACAACTATTTTTGGACAGAAAAATAGAAAACCCTCTCCACCACAATTTTTGTACAAGAAAATTGTAAACCCTCTCTAAACACACAACTACCCAAATCCTTCAATACACCTAAAAGACTATAACTGTTGTGGTAAATAAAATCAAAATAACTCTCTATACTTATAATATTCATAAGAGAAAAATTGAATAGAATAGAGAAAAAATATAATGAGGTAAGAAAAATCAATATCTTGTTTTAGAATGAGACAACATAAATACTAATATATATATATATATATATATTTATGAATTTATAGTTAAACGAGATTAACAGACTATCTGCTACCTATACTGCCTAATGGGTAAACGACTTTTTAGAGCCAAGCTAAAAAGATTCTGAAAAATATAACCTTTAATTTTGAAGTTCAAACCTTATGATTTTTTGGGTTTGGCGGATTGACTCATATGGATTAGTCTATTTTAACAGCTCTACACTGGTCGTGTCTCTAGTCAACATGTGATTAAATCTACCACTTCACACCCGACACAATAAGGGTATGTTTGGATTGATGGAATAGAATGGTATAAACTTAAGTTCCATTGTTTTGATTGATTAAAAAAGGATGAAATTGAGTGGAATCAGATAGAAAATATCTATTTGCATTCCATCTCATTCCATCACTTTCCATTATTTTTTGTACCCTCCAACTTGGGTGGAATGACAAAGCAGATTTTCTATAATTGAATGGATATTTGTTGTTTTACTAAAAGGAGTAAAAAATTATTATAAATAAAGAGTTAATTTGGTTTTATTTACCACAACAATTCTAGTTTTTTATGTATATTGAGGATTTTGGTAGTTGTGTGTCTGGAGAGGATTTATCATTTTTCCGTACAAATATTGTGGTGGTAAGGGTTTTCTATTTTTTCGTCCAAAAATAATTGTTCAGAGAGCTTTTTATTTTTTCGTCAAAAAATAGTTGTTGAGAGGATTTTCTATTTTTCCGTTTAAAATAATTGTTGAGTGGATTTTCATTTTTATCGTCCAAAAATTGCAAAATAGTAATAAATTTTTTATTATAAACTTATTTTATTTTATTTGTACCAATTATTGAAGATTTACTCTAATTATATTTCTAACACACGTGCATGTCCATGTTCACAATAATTGTTCATGTTATTGTTCATAAATATAATTTTTATTAAAAATATATTGTTTACCGTAAATATGTTGTAGATAAAGACGCTACACTATTTACCATTGGGGCATGTGCCCTCACTTAAAATTTTAAATTGTTATAAAATATTTTGTGTAATGCTATACATTTTCAGCATGTAACCTCCAATAACATGAATAACATTTAAATAGCTGTGACTATTATTTTATATATGTTAAATCATTATAATTTAACATACTATTATAATTTTTTTGTTTTATATATATAATCTTCTAATATATATTTAAACCATAAAAAATTATTAATATTTTCTTGTTTTGTTTTATATTTATAATTTTCTTATATATATTTAAACCATAAGATATCATTAGTAAATTTTTTTCAGTTTGATAAATTTTCAAAATAAAATTCACAAAAATTATTTAATTTCTAAATAAATAACTATCAATTAAATTTAAAAGATAATATGTACTCTTGCAATTTCTATTTATAAGACTTTCAAACAAATATTACATTTATTGAAAAGAATTATTAGTATAATTATTTTATATCTTTTATGAATAATTATTAGCAAGTTATCATTTATTTATCAAATATATACGTTGATTTTTTTGCTTTTGAAAATAAATTAATGGTTTTTATAAGGGATATATTTGTCAAAATAATAATTAATGTATTTATAATTTATAAAATTTTTATATAAATGCAAATGAGTTTTATAATTAAATACCTAATTTTTACTAGCTACTGACTCCTGAACTTCTACTAGCTACTAGCTACTTTGACAAAATGCAAATGGTTGTAGATAAATAGGTGTTATAAATGAGTATCAAGATAACATATCTATAACAATATTAAATGCAACTGACTCCTGAACTTCTACTAGCTACTTCGACACAGTCGAATGCTAACTTTCAATTAGAACATCGAATTACATCTTCTAACACATCCCTTAATTCATGTTCTCGAGACTTCTATCCTCATGCTTCTCTTCAACTTGTCGAATCTGACTTTCTTATTCAGAAGTTTAGTGAGTATGTCAGCTAGTTGAACCTCTGTCTTGCAATGCTCAAAATCAAACTTTTCTTTGTTGACTTGATCTCTCCGAACATGATATATCCTCTCTATTTATCGCAGTCTTAGAAAGATATAGACGTTAGAAGAAAAAAAAAAACTCTTAAGAAGGCATGTTCAATACATAACTATTTTGGTTATTGATAATACAAAAAGAAACTTTGAATCTAACACTTCTAAAACCCAAGTAGACTTCAAATAATTTGATAAAAAATCAACTAAATTGTATATACATTATCACACATGAAATAATTTGTATAACAAGTAATTTATATTAGCAATATTTAGCTATACAAATTCATATGAATTTATACTGCATTATTATCCACAATAAGACACAAAACATCAATGTGATGAGAAACATTTTCATCATTCTCCAAACCTTCATTCTATAAATTCTACTATTGGCTTTATCCTTCTTTATCTGAACAAGAGTATCATGAACACACCATGGAAAACTTATGAAATGATCCTTACTAAGCCCTTCATTGTAGCATCCCCAATAACTAGAATCATATGTTACATAATACCATGCAGAAGCAATAGCATAAGAATCATCATAATCACCACCTTGAGATTTTGATTTACTTTTCATCTCATTGAACCAATTTCTAGCTTCATTTCTCAATGACATCACACCATGGTTTATTCCTTCTTTATCTTTTCTGTCATTGAAAGATTTTGACATCTTCAAAATGTTTCCACTAATTATTTCAGCTTCTGTTTCTATGCCATAGTAATCCATTAAGTTCAAGAGCTTAGAATCATACATGTGTTTGTACTCAAAAGCAATCTTTAAGTACTTTTCAAAACCATCAATTTTCATGTCATGATCATATAGCTTCTTTGCTGCTTTTTTAGTGAAGGATTTCTTGTGGCTTTTTTGTTGTGCGACGCTCTTTACTTCGCGGTAAAGCTTTCCGATTATGCTGTTTGATTGATAAAAAGGTTTGTTTTGCCTTTCCATGAAATCTGGATACTCTTGTACTTGTAGATGTTGTGGTATTTCGGCCGGGACACCGGATTTTGCAAAATCAACCGCGACCGAGTGTAGTTTTGCAAGCTCTATGCAAGAATGACTCATCGCCTTTTCAGATTCTTTATCAGCAAACACAGTGTGTGCACTTGCAATGATTCCTAAGGTGTCTTTCACAATGTAGTGAGTGAAATGCTCCTCTATATCCTGTAACCAGGTAACGAAATGCAAAATCAACACAGACGACTAGGGGCGGACTGCAATAAAGACGGAAATTTTAAATAAATACCTGTAATGTGACATCATGATCCATACTCATGAGTTTGGATGGTGCATGATCCATTGGATTTTCCTGATGAGGAGGAATAAGAGCAGGGTCCCAACAGACAAAGTAGATATCTCCATCCAAGTCACTACCTGAACACTCATTAGGATGTGGTCTACAAAACAATTCACTTCAAGTTATGTTGTTTTTGAAACATGTGACTGAACTATGAAGCACGGCTACTGACACAGACACGGACACACACTGACACGTAATCAGAAGTGTTGGTGTCGTGTCAGTGTAGTGTCCGACACGGACACACCATTTTTCAGAGGTATTGAATGGACAAAAATATGAGGAATCTTAAAGTGAAAGCCTTACCTTCTCCCCTTCTGTGGAAAAACTACACAATCAACCATATGATGTAAAGAAGGTACATCAATTGCTCTCAAAATCCTTATATCTCCTGGATGAAGACATGGATTCTTGGCTACAACTACCTTCCCCTTAACAATATATTTACCATTTTTGGCTCCAATGGTGTTAGAACTAACATTTGATTGCTTACTTCTTGGAAGAGATATCTGCACAAAGACCTCTCCATATTTTAGTCTCCTTGTTTCATCCAAACATCCTAACATTGATCTTCCTTTCCTAACAAATATCCTTGTTTTGAGCTGCAATTCTTGTAACTTTGATGCATATATTGTTCTCAAAATCATGGAAAGAAAAGGTTCATTTCTTGGATGGAAGCCACAAATAAGCATTTCTCTTAACATCGTTGTAATCTCTCCTTGTGACATCATTTCTAGTGCATTGAATGGCTTTCTTGATATCATTTTGAGTTTATTAACAATCTCCCTTTGCATCCTTTTGAAGACTCGGTCCTTGACACCGAGGGTTGACAAGAGAATGATTACTTGTCGGTTAAGAAAGCATGGTTTGGGTTTACTCCATGACAAGACATCAAGTTTTGTGTTTTCTGACTTAAACTTGCACATGCTTTTTCTCAAGGAAAGTTTGGTTGATGAGTTAGGATCAATAGCGACAACACCTTTGTATCCACCATATCTGATTTGAAATGCAGATGGAATAATGCGATCGTTGCAGCCGCATTTTTTAGCAACTTCTTGAGCCAACACATAAGATATCTTCCCTATTCCATCAGAAAAACAATATTTGATTTCACCTCTTGTCAATTCAATATCGGGAATGATTTCGATTTCGTGTCTTCCAACACTCACGGTTTCTCTTGATGAGCTGAATGATTGACCTAGCCTTGCTGCATATTTCGCCACATTCCTAATTTCATGAAAATCTCCCATCCATTTTCTTATATCACGCGCAGTTAGTCCTTTTCTCGAGGCAAACATCCACGCAGAGTTATCACGTAGTTGACTTGACGAGAAAGCAAGAAACTCAAACTTCTTGTCACCGATTTCTAGGCCGTTTTTCAGTGTAGACAGTACCCTTTGATGAACATTTGTTTCTTTGTCCATCTCTATACCAGAGAAACGCGACAACAAATCGGACGAACGGAGTTTATCCATGTTCTCATCAACAAAAGAAACACGAAGGAAGTTATCAGTGTCTTCAGGATAGTTGCGCAAAACTCGATTAGAAAGATTAACTTCGGGACCACAAAAATATATTTTAGACGGAGTTACTTGTACTCTATAAACATACACCAATCCATTATCTAGTGAAATGGTATTAGATAATAGAAGTGAACTATTTTTCGAGTATCTTCGATATTGTTCCTCCAACCATTGAACAGGTTCATAGCAACATTCTTTCATCATATGTAATTTATTCAAACCACTTTCTATATATTCAAACTTTATTCTTCCTGGATCAACCATACGAAAAAAATCGGCGCCAATTGCTTGCAAAGGAAGGCAACCATGTTGGACTAATGAGTTGATTTTGAACAGAATTTTGTATGGCAAGTTGAATCCTTCTGGTGGAATCACCATAGGGAAAAAACTCAAATTCGACGAGAAACCATGTTGTTTCTCAAGATCAAAGGTGTTGTCAAACTTATAATAATCTCGATAGTTGGGACGAAAATTCGGAACCTCAGCACTTTGTGGAAGCTCAAAACATAAAACTGATGATTGTCCAATGCAACATGATGAGGTGAAATCTACACTTCTAGTCCAATGGTTGTCATGATCTTCCTTAAAATACTTGATTTCGGACACAAATTTTTCATAGATTCGTGGAGCACTGCGCAACTGAAAAATTTGTACACTAAGTTCAAAAATAAAAATACGCAGAGACTAAAAACATATTTAACCCTGAAACTTAAGAAACTAACCTGAAAAAGGAGAAGCTTCTTGGTACGACAATGCGAATGATGCAGCTCAATCCGCGATATACTCTCGGAATTAATCTGCAGCTTATAATCCTTAGACATATAGCTAATAAAGATATACATTTTTCCTAATCTGGATCCAAATTTAACAGAAGCATTTGAATGTTCCCAAAGTACACTAAGTTTTTCCTTAGATGTTTGGCATCCAAAGTGCACTCCAACACCATCCATGCAATAAGCAAAGATCCTTGGCTTTGACAAAATGTCAAATTTTGTTACTTCAGCATTTAGAACAGTGTCATTGTAACATAGGTGTTGTTGAGTAGCCAAGTTTAAGATTGTTTCAACACTTTTTTTGTCTATGAATTGAACATTAACATGTGTCATAGAATCTTTGTGCTTCTCAATGATTGCAGCAAGAACAGTTTGAAAGCCAGTATGCTGCTCTAAAAATTTCATTACCTGTTCAGCAGAAAGATTGGACGGGAATCCATGTAATTGAATTGTCTTACACATAGTTTACCTGAAATTTCATGAATTTCTTCTACCACTTGGTTTTTATTTTGTTTATAAATTTTCTACTTTATCAACAACTTGCTTCTAAAATAAACATTTAATTTTTTTTACTTTATTTTATATATAGATAGGTGTATATGTGCTTTGCTTTTTCTTCTATACTTGGTGAAGTATATTACAAAAAGAAGAAGCTCATTCTTTTCTTAAGTCCCCTTCTATGTTTTGCTTTTTACTTTATTTTATGGCGTATTAGTCTAACCACTAGATCATTTAAATTAATAAATAAAAAAATTAAACAAAATAGTGTTAGATTTTGAATTACACATAGTTGCATGACACTTTTGAAAGAAATTTGTTGTGAAATAAAAGTGATTTAAAGGCTAATAATAAAACTGATGGGTGAGACAAAGAATAATAATAACCATCCTAAACAAAAATTAATATGAGAGATAGTGTAAGGAAAAACCATATGAAAGAGAAGAAAATAAAAATGAGTGTACACCAAATATGTTTATTCTCGAGGATAGAAGCTCTCCAATCCACTGCATTTTAAAAGTTGTTACAAGAGATTATATGATGAGTTATAAGAAATCGGTCTTTTAAGTTTATAAGAACATTTTCTATTTTCTACTTAAGTGTTTTTTTATCTTCTTTATTTAATATATGAATCACACAAATTTAAGGTGTTTAGAAATATTTCTGAGTTCTTATAGATATTCTCAAAGGTCTTCCAATTTTTAGAACAATATGTATCTCGAGAATTCCTTATTTTTCCTCTCTAAGTTTCTTTCACTACGATTTTACCTCTCTCAGATTTGCACCTAAAAAGGACGGGAAAAAAAAATCCTTTTATAGGTGTTAGAGGAAATGGGTTGTGTTTCAAAAAAAAGTAGGAACACACTTTGTTTTCCTACGTGTTTATTCCTAATGCAGTGTGTTGTCATTAATCTTTTCCTGAACATTTTGAAGTCAATCTCCACAATTTTCCATCTTGAATTTAAAGTTGATAGTGATGTCAATTTATCCATTAACCATATTATTGCTCTCTCCAAAGGTTGAATCACTCTTCAATGAACTTGACCAAATCCAAGCAGTGCTTTAACCTTAATATAGGAAATGATTTAGTGAACACATATGCATGATTATCTTCCAAAGCCATCTTTTGAACCAAATTCTCCTTGACTCGATCATGTTTCTTATGAAGTAAAAATAGATGTCAATGTGATTTGTCATATCATGAAACACTTAGATGATTGGCCAAGTGAATAACACTTTGACTATAATATTGTATCTTCACACATTCTTCCCCGACTCGATCATTTCCTTTATGAAGTGTAAATGGATGTCAATATGCTTTGTCCTCTCATAACACACTTAATGATTGACCAAGTGAATGTTACTTTCACTATCACAATGTATCTTCACACATTCTTAAATGATCCCTAACTCTCCAATCATGCCTTTCAATTATATGACTTCCCCGACTCTTGAATAAGGGCAATATATTCCTCTTGAGTAGTAGAAAACACGGCAACCGATTGTTGAATTATCTTAAAACTTATAGTTGTTCCAAACAATGTAAATATGTAACCCAAAAGATATTTTTTAGTGTCCATATTTCTCTCTTAGTTTTCATCCACAAAACCCTCAAAATCAGCTTTATGTTGGTCTGCCTTTGTGTACTTCAAACCATCGTTTAATGAACCATTCAAATATATTAACAATCACTTCAAAGCTTTCCAATGAACTTGACTATGATTGGCCATAAACCCACTTACTTTACTAACTTTGTATGCTAAGTCTACTATACTACAAACCATACCATGCATGATGTTTTCAACTCCACATACATAGGGAGTACTTTTCACGGGGAGTTATCTTCATCATCTTATTTTCTTCTTTAGTTTGAGGATATTGTATAACCAAAATATCCATATGATGATTTGAAGAAGTGTTAATGGTTTTAGCATATTAAATTCTAAACCATTCCACTACTTTTTTCAAGTAGTCAGATTGAGATAAGAATAATTTACTTCTTTTTACAGCTTCGCATGATATCATTAGGATATCATTAACATTTATAAGAAGGTAGATAATGATTTTCTCCTTCCTTTTCGATATGTATACAGAGTTGTTATAACTACTTCTCACAAAATCATATGTAAGAAGAAATTAATTAAACCGACATATCATTTTCTCGGGATTTGTTTCAACCCATACACAGATTTCTTCAACAAACATGCCTTAAAAATTTTTTTTTCAAATATAAGTTTCACAATGCCAAATTCTACATTTTATAAGAATGAATAAAAAAATTATGATGTAATCAAAGCAACCAAGATTTAACAAATAGACATTTCTTGACATCAAAATGTTTACTAAACTTAGAAACAAATAAGTTTCATCTCTAAAATAACTATCAGAGAATAACACATGTGGCTAATTAGTTTGACAAAGTATGACATAGTTTAAGACTCGATTAAATACAACACATGACTTATCATCTTGTTTCAGATATCAGAGCATGAATCACCATGCTCACATTTTCACATTTAACACATATTCATATATTTGTGTTCAATAGTTTATGAAGTTGAGAGTGATAAAATCTAGTTTCTAAAGTTGTGGTTTACACGATGCATTTTCTTGTGTGCATGAACTACAAGAGAGTATATGAAAATATACATGAAATCTATGTACTTTGGAGTTAGGATTATTCTAGCCTATACTGCGTTCAATTCCATGAAGTGATATTTCGTTATTAAGGTAGAAAACTAGCAATTATTTCTTCAAAAACATATTGCCTCTAATTTCCTCTTAGTATTATTCTCAACATACACTTTGCTCGACTCAAAAACTTTACTACTTTTTTAGAGGCTTCTACTTCAAACTACTTCTTATTATTGTTCTTAAAAGACATTTTTCTCAGCTCAACAATTTGCTCAGAGAATTCTACTTTTGATTGTTTTTTATGGTTCAACTTTTGAATGCTTTCAACATTAGTATTTATATAATTGCCTCCTTAGAACTTTTGAGTTGTCTTTTAAAAAATTTTCATTTTCAACCTTAATTTTCATCTTCCCGTTAAATTTGTGCTAAACTTAGCTTAGGTATCAAACATAAAATCATTCCCATTTTTCATTTTCCTACAACAGAAACAACATACAATAAGTTTTCCATTATTTTTCATATGAAATGCTGAACAACATGCTGAAAGGTTTGTTTTTCATGTCTGGTTTATTTGTTTTTGAGAAAACGTTTTTCAGAAAACTACAAAAGTAAAGGTTACTCAACATAAAATTTCTTTTGAAAAAAAATATAACTGAACATAAGCATGTAAGCAGAAATATTCAATGATCGATTATATGAAATTAGAACATCAATACTTATTTGTTGAAGTCATGATTTAAAATTCTAAAAAGATGAATGATTAGATCTTACTATGTATCTCACACTCCCGTTCACAACTCTCAATGGAGGAAGTTATGGAGCCATCAGTTATGTTTCTGATTCTCTTGTGATTACAGAGGGAATCTAACCATTATATATGTAACCCTAGTCCCTACCCATTATAGACTCAGGGTTAAAACTCACACTTTTGCCCACACAATCAGATTTCAAATACTCAGTCTTTAATTAAATTAGATCACTTAACCAATAAAAGAGTTTATATATGCACCCCCATCAAAATCACGATTAACCCTTTTTTTTTTACAAATTAAACAACAATTGATTGTAGCTCATAAAAAGTTAGATAAATTTAACATTATCCCACTTGGACAAAATCAATTGTGTGATTTTTATTTTAAAATACATTTTGAAAACGACTCTCGGATTAATGACTAATTTGAGGCCGCATTTTAAGAAAATGCATGATTCTAGGTGTAGTATTTGAATATATGACTCCATCCAACAAAAGTCAAGCAATATTGAATCACGACGATTATTATATCCTTCATTGACATAAAACCTTCAGTGGTTACAAATACTACGGACTCTGTCAACTAGTCATCATTGTGGAGTGTGACAAGAAAATAACATGCTAATGTGATCCAATAGCCAACTGCTATTTTCTTTCTCAGTCCTTAACAATTTCTCTCAAATGCATTAAAGGCAAAGAAATTGCATGGTTTTACAAACCATAATGCCTCAACTCTAATATGGCATCGACCACCAACACAATGATCCTGATAACGTCGAGCTTTAAATTATACTTCAGCTCCAATGTGGCATCAACCACCGGTATAGTAGTCCCGAAGATACCGAGCTCAAAATTATAATCATGCCTCGAACTCCAAACTAGTATCGACCATAGGCACGATGGTCCCGATGACACTAAGTCTCAATTTTAACAATTGACATATAAATAAACAATGACAAATAATAATAATAATAATAATAATAATAATAATATTCATTGTAATATCAATTAGTTAAAATAGAAAGTATTTGACAATCCAACACTTATAGTGTCCAAATTAAAATATAACATGATAAAAAAAATAACATAAAGAACAAACTCCCACTAACCAAGTACATCAAAAGAACTCACAATGCTCATGCTCTCAACATGGTTTTTGAACTCAATGGGCCTAAGTCCCTTAGTTGGGGATCAACTAGCATGAAATCAGTACCAATGTACTCAACAACGATGTCATTTTTCTTTACAAGATCTTTGACTGTCAAATGCTTCAATTCCAAATGCTTAGAATCGCTAGAAGTTTTATTATTCTTGGAGTATAACACAGTTGAACTATTATCACAATAAAGCTTTAGTGGCTTAGCAATAGAATCAACAATATAAAGTCCAGCCACTAAATTTCTTAACCAAACAGCATGACTGGCAGCAGCATAACAAGCAATAAACTCTGCCTGCATAGTAGAAGAGGCGACAAGAGTTTTCTTTTTACTCGTCCATGATATCGCACCTCCAGCCATCATAAAAATGTAACCAGAAGTAGATTTCATATCATCAACACACCAAGCAAGATCAGAGTCAG